GAGCAGGGAGCCCGATGCGGGACTCGATCCCAGGACTCCAGGATCATGACCTGAGCCGAAGGCAGTCGCTTAACCAACTGAGCCACCCAGGCGCCCAATAAATAAATTCTTTAAAAAAAAAAAAAATCACACCCAGTGTGCTAAGTATCTGGAGAGAAGTCAGCTGGTTGTGGTAGGATCCAAACGTCACAGAATGCCCTCCCTCAGTCACCCTCCCCCCGCCCCACCGCTAGGCTCCTGGACACCTCCCAGTGGCCTCAGCGCTGCAGGACACGCATTAGAATCAAGCCCGAGAGGTAGTCTTTAGGCAAACCAGGACTCACCCAGCAGCAGCCGGTGGGGTCGTGCAGCCCGTCGGGGAGAAGCCGGGAGAAGCCGGGGAGCCATCACCATGACCGCAGAGGCACATGGAAACAAAGAACAGCAGTGAGACACAGGCAACAAAGACACTCTTTGGGGCCCCTCTTCGTCCTGGGCCGGGGGAACATCCTGCCCAGCTGCTGCCCCCGGGGCTCTGCTAGGGCAGACACCTCCTTAGTGGGCAATCTGATCATCTGATAGCATACCCAGAGCTCCTCCCAGCCCCAGCCCACGGGAGGCAGCAGGATCCCTGTAGACAAATACTCACTGAGCGCCCACTGTGTGCTGGGTAGTGGGGATACAGTCTGAAGAAGACAGACGTGGCCTCTGTGTGCATGGAGTATACAGTGCAGGGAGGGGGCAGGCGTGTGACTCCTGAATGAGTTACAACGGTGATGAGTGCCTCAACGGGGAAGCTTACGAACCTGGGTTCAAACCCTGGCTCTCGCTCACTAGCTTTGTGACATGGGGCCCGTCTTCTTCACTTCTCTGTGCCTCAATGAGTCATCTGTAAAATGGGGATAGCATTAGTGCCCACCTCCAGGGTTGTTGTGAGGATTGAGTTAATATGTAGAAAACATTTTGCACAATGCTTGGCACGCGGTAAACTGTTCATAACTGGTAGCTACTGTCATTCCAGGGAGCTGTAGGCCTGGGTTTTGGAGGGACCTAGTGTGGGTCAGGCCACCACCTACCTGACAAGGTAGGGATTAAAAGAGACAGTAGAAGTGAAGCTCTGGTCCCAGTGCCTGGCACATGGTAACCAGTTGGTAAGCGGTGGTGCTATCTTTAGGGCTGTTCTCCAGCAGGTCCCCAGGGTGCAGCAGAGGGGAGGTCAGAAATGCCCTCTCCCCAAAACACGCACCCAGAATTGCAACTTTGGACTGAAAAATAAACAGCACTCTCACCCAATGCTACAAATATCTCATCTCCTTTGACCTTCACAATGACCCAGGAAGTGGACATAGGCAAAATTCTTACTATTCCCATTTTACAGATGAGGACAGTGAGGTGAAGGGACTCCTCTCTGCGTGCGCTTGGGTGTGTCCCTTCATAGCTCCAAGCCTAGTTAAGTGGTGGAGCCAGGATTCCAGCAGGCATCTGCCTGGATTTTGTTCTCCCGGCCTTCCCTTGGTTTTTTCCGCCCCCGGGGTCTGTAATACAAGCTGCGCAGCCCCAGACAAGACTCTGAACCTGTCCAACGCCAGTCCTTTCATCTGAAATACTTACCAAATGGCCAGCCCAGGATCCGAGCTGTTCCTGACCCAAACTCTTCTTCCACAGGCTCAGCCACTGCTACCCTGCCCCTCCCTCTCACCTTTTACCCCATTACCAACTTCAGCCACAAACCCATGAGCCAAGGAATGTCTGCACTCAACTACTAAAACCCATGTTTTATAGATGGAGAAACTGAGGTCCAAAGGTGGGCCAAAGTTGCCTTTCAGTGCCCAGCTCTTTTACCTGGGCAGACGCCAGGTGGGGCTGGCCCTCTGAGGAAACCCCAGTAGGGCCCTGACCTGCAGGTTGCTCCCTCTGCTCTTCCCCCCACCCCACACTGGGCCTGGTGGGCACCTGCGCAGCCTGTCCCCCCGCTCCCCAGAATAAATATCCCAGAGCTCCAAGCTCACCCAGTAAGGGTCAGGCAGGTTCCAGAGGTAAAGGCTAGGCATTGTGGGAGTCTTGGGACCTGCCACATGGCTTCCCCTTTCAGTTGAGTCTGGGCTTTGGGGTCAGACAGACCTTGGTTCAAATCCCAGCCCAGCCACTTCCCAGCTGTGTGACTTTGGTCAAGTAGGTTCACCTCCCTAAACTCCTGAGAAATAGGAATAATACCTATTCCCTCGAGGGATTATAAGGATATTAGTTAATGCTGCATATTAAAGGCTTAGCACAGTGCACAGTAAACGTGGCTGTAATGATCAGAGAACACAGGCCAAAACAGGACATGAAGGCCCATCACACTCCACCTTGTCCTTGCCCCATTCTTCCCCTCCCCTTCATGTGGGGTAAACCAGGTCCTGGAGGTTATAATAATGGGGGCTGAAAGACCCTTCGAGGCTCTAGGCTCATCTCACCTTCTCATTTCACAGAAAGAGAAACTGAGACCCAGGGAGCAAAGAGATGGGCCCACAGACTATAGGGGAGTAGAACCCTGCCCCGTTTACTAAACAACAGAATCCCAGGCCCCAAGAAAAATCCAAATGCCCCACCCCCACCAGGGGACTATCATAAAGATCCATTCTGCAAGCCCCCAACAAATATCAGGCCACCATGACATTTATGGGGAGCCCTTTGTGGGTATCCTGTTTAGCTCTGTGGCTAGCAGACCTATATGTGGTACTCAGGAAGGGCTTAGGGACAAACCCATGCAGTTCCTCTTTGGCTCCACAGAGAAGCTCTGCTCAGGCTCCCCCTCCAGAGGTGTCTCCTTGCATCTCCCTTCCTCACTGCCACCCTGGCCTCTGTCTCACCCTGTAGTCTGGGTCCCATCAGCTGGGCACAACCCCAGCCAGCAGAGTTCTGGGCCTCCAGAGGCCTATACGGCATCAGCAACTTCCCAGCCAGGCTGGGATATTCCTGCCCGGCACAGCCAGCCAGGCTCCTGGCCAGGGTCCACTCTGCAGAGGGGGTGCTGGCCCTGCCCTACCAGGAACCCCATCCACCCCCACCGGTCTAGCAGGTGCAGCAGCCTGGGAGCCCTGGGAGCTTCTGTTGGCACCTGCAACCTACAGGAGGGAGGCCAGCCTAGTCTAGGCCGTGCAGGAATGGGTTGATCTGGAGACAGACGGGTGTGGCACTTCTTTACTTCACTGAGTATCACCCCCTCATGCAGATGCTCCAGCTGCCTCACACATTGCTGGGACCTGGCAGGCCCTGCCTGACTCCTAATACACAGAGGAAACCTCAGGACCTCCTCACTCCATTCCCTTCTTAAAACACCCCCACTGGCCTACTCGCAGACCAGGTATCATTCTGGTCACTGCACACTTATTACCTCACTTGATTCTGCTAATGCCTGTGAGGTCTGGATTATTGACTAAGGAAGAACCTGGGACTCAGAGGAGGGGAAGTGACTCATGCAAGGTCACACAGCAAAGTGGCAGGGCCAAGATTTAAACCCAGTTCTGCTGCATGCAAAGCCTGCAGGGCACCTGATGTCCCCTTTCCTCCCACCTCTCTGCTCCCTAAAGCTTCTGGATCCCCTTCTTCCCAAACCTTCCACCCTTCTCTGCAAAATCTCTCCTTCCACAATCCCAGTCAGAATTAATCTTTCCCACCTCGTGGCTGCTATAACAGCTTGTTTACACGCACCCAACAGCAGCAGGGTCCAGGAGTTATTTCTGAGGTGTCTGCCTAACTAAAGGCAGGGGGTGACCCCAGTACATGCTCCTCAGACCTGACAGTCTGTCACCTCTATCTCCATGCTTCCCCTACCCCCATGCAAAAGTCCTCTGACCTCCTCCTGTTGATCCCCTCCCCACTCCCAGCCTCCTGCCCAGGCCTGTAACTGGGGTGAAGGTAGGGAGCTTGCTGAAACCTCAGGGGCTCTGTGCCAGTGCTCTGGCCCTCCCTCTCCCTTTCAGTAGCTGAGGATCTGACCCAGACCTGACACCAGGCAGCTCTCACAGGGACTCCCAGCTGCCGTAAGCACCAGGCCTGGCCAGGCATTGCCTCCTCCTTCAGGAGAAAAGGACTCCAGAAGCAGAGAAGGGGCTGCCTTCAGCCCTAGTCCGTGAACTTGAGGGGTCACATTCAGCCACTCCCACCGCGGGGAAGCTGTGGGCCTTGAAATACGCCCCCAACCACCACCACCAACCCTACAGGAACAGTCCCCCCAACCCCCCGCCCCGCTTCTGGGGCAATTGGGCTGGGGTCTGTGAGAGTCCCCACCTCCTATTTGCTGGAGGGGAGAACTCTAGTTCTACCAAAAAGAGGTGAGGTCTGCCGGAAAGTGTACATTAAGACGAGAAAACTCCCGGGGAAAGACTGAGGATAGGGACAGGACAGCAGAGAGAGCAGAGATGAGGGACACGGGGAATCGGGGGATGAGAGCAAGCAGGAACCTGAGAGCGACAGAGAGACTGGGGAGACCAGAGACCGAGGAAAGTCCCCGAGACCAAGCCTGGAAGGGAGCGTGCGGGGCCGGGGCGGCGACAGGAGGGCCATCCTAGCTGGCACAGCTGGCACCCCAGCTCACAGGTCCCTCAGTCGGGAAACTCAAAGTCAGTTACGTAAGGGCCGGGGCCGGGAGCGGGGTTCCAGGCCCGGGGGGCCCCCTCCCGCTGCGCGCCGCCCGCCCTCCCGCTCCGGCCAGCGCTGCGGCGGGCCCGGCAGGAGCAAGCGGGCCGGACAGGGCGGGGCTGGGGGGGGGGGGGCCTGGGGCCGCAACACTCTGCAGAGACCCGCCCGCGGAGACCTAACCCGGGGCCCCCCGCCCCAGGCAGGCCGGGACCGCCCGGACCGCCAACCGCAAGCGTCCAGTCCGGGACCGAGCTCCCGGACCCCTCTCCTCTCGCCCGCGCCCCTCCCCGCACCCCGAACTTCGAGACGTCCAGGCCCCTGTGGACCCCAGTTCTAGGGCAGGGTCCCCTAGAGCCCTCCTCCCCTGACCTTTAGACCGTGGTCTCGCCCCTACCGAGACGGCACGGGCCCTTGGGAATGGGTCCATCTGTCCCTCACCCCGTCCCTCCCGGGGACCCGGGATCGCCCCCGGACAGTCCAGGCTCACCTGGGCCGGACGGGGCGGGGACCTGGCCGGGCCGGGCCGGGCCGCGTTCTCGCTCTCCGCCGCTCTCGCCCTTTAAGAGGTTCCTGCCACTTTGCCCCGCCGGGGGCCTCCACCTGCACTGACAGGGCAACTCTGGAGTGAGGCCCCGCCCCCGACCCGGGAGACCTCCTGATTGGCGCAGGCAACTGCCAATCGGCGGGGCGGTGAAGAGACGGTGCCGAGAAGTGCGAGCGTCGCAACCGGGAAAGGGCTGGGGCTGCAGGTGCGGTCTGACGCGAACGCCGATCTCTGAGCGGCCCGGTGTTGACCCGAGGGTCAAGGGAGGATTGGGTAGGGAGCTCCTGGATTGGGTGGTGTGGTGTCTGACGTCGTACGGCAAAAGTATGATGCAATTTGCCACGTGGTGCTGCCCCTAACCTAAGGGTTGGAAGGGTGGTAGGAAGGGAGTTGGTCCTAGGGAACCTAGGGAA